TTTAAATGCAAATTATTAACATTGAAACAATTTACTAATTTAGATATAGCATTATTTACTTCTGATTCAATTGCACAAATTGCACAATTTTTCGGGAAGCCTATAGGAAGGGAGATTCGAAAGAAGCGCTTTGTGCCAGACCCGATCGAAGGCCTTCGCTATGACCAAACTAACTACCAATGCCTACCCCTTGGACTCTACTACCTCCGCCCATCTATGAGTTGGATAGACCAGAAGATCACCAGCTGATCAACCCCGACGAAAACTGTTTATAATGGATTCCATTATTTTGGAGAACAAGGAGGTGATGGCGATAGGCCTGTAGTTTGGACGGGTCTGAGCGGTCGCCTTGTTTAGGGATCGGCTAAACCAAAGCTGTCTTCCATGAATTTGGGATAATGCATTAGGAGTAGAAGTACCGGAAAAGACGCGTTAAAACCGGTGCCAACTTCGGAGCACACGTCTTCAGCACAATGAAAGGGATTCCATCAGGCTCACTCGACTTGTTGACGACCAGGGAGAGGAATGCTTTGTGAACCGAGCGCTGTGTAAAACGCACATCCGGCATGGAGCACCCACACCGCGGTACGGTCGGTGGTGTGTTCCCCCCGTCATCTAGAGTCGAGTTGGACGCAAAGAGAGAATTTCACAGATCGGCTTTCTCCTTTGCAGCATGGGCCAGTGAGTCGTCCTCTCTGTGCAGAGATGGAAGAGATGGCTGACAGAAGTTCCCTTAGACAGCCTTAGCAAGAGACCAGAATGCACGGGTTACCGAAGAAAGGCGAACTAGCCTCTCACCAACTCCGCCGATGTTCTCTGACTTTGCCTTGGCAATGAATTTTGAAGAACCTGGAGGCGGAAATATACTTCTTTTGAAGAGCGCTGGTGTTTACATCCCGAGACATCAACGTCTCGGGATGTAAAGATGTCGTCAGCCCAGTCCTGGTAGCACTCTTGCTTATAGTGTGATGCTATTTTACATCAGCGACCAAACCATGGCTGGAATCTGCCTCCGATGGGCACCACAGAAGATGGAATAAAAAGTTTCATATCCCGAAGTACCATATCAGCGACAGAATCAGCAACATTGCTGGGATTGTCCAGCGAGAAGCTAATCCAATCAAGGGTAGAATACAAAAAAATAACCCATCCTTTCCCAATCGGCAGCCTGCAGAATACAACCGCGAAGGTAGTGTGAGTAACAACACCCTCCGGACAAGACAATGGCCTTAGGAGCCGTGAGGGGTGTCGACGGACACCTGATATCCGTCCGGATACGAGGTCAGCAGAAGTTCCAACAGGGAAGGCGCATGATCCTCCACATCTGGAATCCGCGTAGGCAAAGTATGTGCCAAGGCAAAGTCATAAACAAATTTCCCCACATGATCGGTTAAACGTGAACCGAGCCATTCGGCGTGATGGTCGTTAAAATCGCCAAGGATCACGATCTCTGCGGATAACCCCCCCCCCCCCCTCCCCAGTATACCAGAATACGCGGGGCAGCTTGAGCACACACGCTCAGGAACAGTAGGGTAGGTTGGGCGTGGGTGCTCAGCGAAGGATTCTCCGTCACCAGGAGTCTGGTACCCTCCTGGGGTAGTTTCCGCTACCATACTTTAAGGGGGGCGGAGGGGGGGGGGAATTGGGCCTCCGACCACCTACACTTACCAAGCGAAACGCAGAAGTAAACTTCTACTTCACGCTGGTATACTTACCTATACTACCCTGGTTCGAGCTGGCCCATCCATGCGATAGCAAAAGCTGCCGCATCATAATACTTTTTTTCTGCCCATCATAAATAAACAACCGATACACAAGAATAAATTATTTTCTTCGTTATGAAACAAGTCCAGTCTTAACGAATAAACCAACACAATAACTGCCTTTCTTTCTTCAAAACTTCTCTAATACTTTCACGTTTTTCGTAAACGCCAAACTCCTACTACACACCCTGATCGCGACTGAAAAAACGTATCGCTTAAAGGCAAATAATTGATGATTAGTATGCCCGCATGCGGCGATGCCGCATAAGCACCTCGCAATGTGAATCTACCTATCTTATTCATAACTGCCTTTATGTTTTACGGAATTAACCGGTTAATTTGGGTGTCAAAACCATTAAGTAACCGGTAACCTTTATCGTTTAGGTTTAATAAAAACCGGTAATTTTTTTTACCGGTAATTGAAGGAGCGATAAATTTACCGGTAATTAATCGAAATTAACCGCTCCTTTTAAACCGGTTCCGAGCCCTGTCTTCATATATAAAAATTATGGGTCCATTGTTTGTCCGCGATGAACTTCTAAACTACTGAACTGATTTCAATGAAATTTTGTACACTGTGTGCTGTTTGGTCCAACTTGAGAGATAGGATAGTTTATATCCCGTTAAGTGACCATCGATATTTTTTATTGCAAATTTAAGGTTTTCTTTTATTAGATTAAGGGAAGGGTCGCAGCAGGACTGTAAAAACTACCGTGGTATCAGCTTGCTTAGCATTGTGGGTAAACTGTATGCTAAGGTGTTAATTGAAAGAGTTATGGAAGAAACTGATGGAAAAATCTGGGATGTGCAAGCTAGATTTAGAAAGGGGATGGGGTGTACGGATCAAGTATTTTCCATGCGCATGATTGCGGAGAAATTTTTTACCAAAAACCAGAAAGTTTTTTGTGCATTCATGGACTTAGAAAAGGCTTACGACAGAGTGGACAGGAACGTGTTATGGCAAAGACTGACCTCATTTGGGTTGAGCGCTGGTCTGATACAGGCATTAAAGTCTCTTTATAGGGACTCTAGTGCTTGTGTCAGGATCAACGGGGCCTACTCGGACTGGTTTGGCATTCAAAAAAGTGTCAGACAGGGTTGTGTAGCTTTTCCGTGGCTTAACCTATTTATGGACAGTTGTTTGCAAACTTTGAAAGTTGAAGAATGTGGGTTGAGAATGGGTGAGTTAACTGTCAAATGCCTTTTGTACGCCGTTGATCAAGTCATATTTGCATCGTCGGCGGCCGAGTTGCAAATGATGGTTAATTTAATGAACTGGTCATTAAAAGAAAGCGGTATGAAAGTGAACGCAAGAAAGACGAAAGTGATGGTTTTTGAAAGAGAAGAAAGTAAAACGTTATGTGAAATAAGAATAGAAGGGGAGTTGATTGAGCAAGTGGATGAGTTTGTATATTTGGGATGTTTATTTAGCAGGGATGGTAGATATGACAAGGATATAGAACGACGAGTGAACGCAGGAAGTAGAGTTAATGGGGCTCTACACGCTATTATGAAGAGTCAGAATGTGTCAAAGAAGGCACGTATGGCAATTCATAATGGTGTGTTAGTCCCTACTTTAATGTATGGTAGTGAAAGTTGGGTATGGCAGAACATGAGAGTAGAATAAAGGCTGTAGAAATGCGTTCATTACGGAGTATGCTAGGGCTGAATCTGAATCTGAGAAAAGTGTGGTTTGCAAGATGACGTTGTGACTAAGATTAAAAAAGGAATGCTTCGGTGGTTTGGTCACGTAGAAAGAATGAATTAGGAAAGAGTGACAAAGCAGATTTATGTTTCAGAAGTGAATGGCAAAGTCGGGAAGGGACGCCCTAGACGAAGATTTATCGACCAAATCGGCGATACATTGAAAATGGGCCAGATTAGGAGTACCCTTAACCGACGAGGGTGTATGCGTAAATATATGGATGTAAAGGAGGCGAGAGAAGTGTGTCAGGATCGCGCCAAATGGAAGTCCGTAGTCTCTGCCTACCTCTCTGGGTGACAGGCGTGAGTGTTTGGATTGTATTTGTATTGTATGTCTTTTATTAGACAAAGGGTCGTCGGAAAGAGCAGAACAACGTCCGCCTGGTCAGCTAGTAATAAATAAGGTACGACTTTCCATTGACATGCGTCAAGTTGGGGGTATATATTTTTTTTACAGAAAGGTTACATTTTTTTTTTTATAGAAGAGGGGGCAATCGAGCATGCGGCTCACCTGATGGTAAGTGACTACCGCCGCCCATGAACAACCGCAACACCAGGGGAATTGCAGATGCATTGCCGGCCTTTTAAAAAGGTGTAAGCTCTTTTCTTGAAGGTTCCTAAGTCGTATCGGTCCGAAAAATTCGCTGGTGGTAATTGATTCCACAAGGAAGTTGTGCGAGGGAGAAAACTTCTTCTAAATCACACAGTGGTGGACCGCCAATCATCCAGATGGTATGGATGGTAACGCGAGTTTTGTCACTCGCGATGTGGGATGGTGAAATTGAGCGGCTGGAATTAATCCGAACATTATTATAAGCACACACGTAAAGTTTCAACATTCGGAGACAAATATTTTTGAGAAAAAATTTGAAAATCTACTATTTTTGCAATATTTACATATGTCAATTCCTACCATAAAATGTACGCTATTTTGTATTGTCATTGTCAGTTGGGATGTCGATTCTTTCTGAAAAAGATCGATTTTTTAAATTGATTCGAATTGTATGCTGATGTATCGATTCACAAATAATTGATTTCTAAAATATCTATATTTTTTCATTTTTGCATTTATAATGTAAATATAAATCCATTTTATCGTTTTAGCGTTTCCTCATATTGAAACTTTGCTTGTGTGCTTATAATAATGTAACCTTTCTGTTAAAATAATATCAACCTCCAACTCGACAGACGTCAATGGAAAGCTAAGCCATAAATAATAGATCTATAATCTCATGTAGCTGCTTTTTTACATGAAGTGGTTTTTCTTCTCACCTAAGAGAATGCTATAGTCTATGGTGGTCACAATAATGCATTTGTGTTATACACAACCAATAGGTATTACAGGAAATACAATTTATTTGCTCTATAGAAAATCAATCCTTCAGATAACTTAAAATTTATTGATAGTTTTACTAATGTTTATTTACTTACTTATGGAAAGAAAAATCACCATTAACAAATAATTAAATGGCACAAGCTCTTACCAAATTATTTATTGTAATATAAATAAGATTAAATAGGTGTATAACTTACGTTGGTAAAATCAACAAGTTGTGATACGTAAACTCCATCCAAACGTAAAAAATCCAAAATTACAGTGTCTTCTGACACGTTCGCTGTTATGTTTTCCTGCATAACATCGCCACCCTATAGTCACGATTAAGATTAATTTTAATTATGACTAAGACTAGATAATAAAGTTTAAATTATAAAATTACCTGATTTTTAACATTAATTAGTAGTTGTAGATTGATTGGTTGAATAATTGCGTAAAAGACAATAATATTCATGTAATTTTGCATTTTCTCCTAAAAAGAAAATAACTTAAGTACTGTACAAACAGTTTTAACCATTTTACTTAAATTGAAAAGTATACACGAAAATTGAACTGAAAGCTGAAACGAAATGAAAATTATTATGAAAACTTCCGATGAATTAAGATGTGAATGTGACGTTACTGCTGTTGTTTACAAAGAATGTTGTGTTCATTAATTCATTTCATTTGTTTTAGTGTTTGACAATATCTTTGTGGGTCGTTTTATATATTTAGAAATATAATATACAAAAATATTATGCTGTAAATTATAAAATTTATACCTTTTTCGTAACTACGTAAAATATTTTACTATTTAACGTTTAAGAAAACCTATAATTATTTAAAAATATATTTTGATAGCAAGTTCTATAAACGAGATAATTCTTTACGTTCCGTTCTAGACAGCCAAATATATGTTAGAATAATTAAAATTTTTGTATTTTAGATTTAGTTAATTTAATAAATGAATAAAATAAAATTGAAATTGGAGGAAATTGTGGATTTGTGAACCTATAATAAAGATTGTCTCATTTAGCTTGTGGGTTCATAGGTTTTTATCAAAGACCAAAAAGGTTATTCCTTAGAGCACAGACTAACCATAGAGTGTTTATATATAAGCAAGCTATAAATCGCGTGTTATGGCTGATTTACACAGGGTCAGTTACTGACTACAAATTCCAGACAAGTCAGTGCTGAACCGATAATGACAGTGTAAATTGATTTGGAGTCAGTACAGCGTCTTGTTTGAATATTTTCAGTCACTCCACCCCCCTACCACCCGCGTCAACGGTATTGACCCTATCTAAAGTAACAAGCAAGCAGGTCAGTAAAGTTTATGCGAAAATCAAACGACAAGAAAATCTTAAGATTGCTTTAATTTTATGGCAAAAATGAATGTCTCTGGGATATTAAATTCCAAAATTACCGAAATAAAGAAATGACTGCAACATTATATTGCAAAATATTTCTCAGCAAATGAACATAGAAGAACGAAGCCCTACTAAACTCCTAAATAAAATATACTCAACAAATTATTCAATCGTTGTAAATTTTGTAGTTTCCGTATATTAATTTTTGCTCACTGACTTCAATAACGTGCGTACACCGTGAAGAATTTACCACGACTACAAACTGCATGTAAACAGTGTGAGTCAGTGCCTTACATTAGCCTTTCGCGAGTGTGAACAGTAAGCACGAGAATGACCAGTCTCGAAATGGCAAGGGTGACGTTATTACTTAGTTATTACTTACTTTGTAGTTATTACTTAGTCACAAACTCACAAAATTTACGCACGTTAATTGTTTCTCTCGACGGTATATATTTGAATTTTAAATTACCACGGTGAAATGTGCAGTGCAACTGTATAAACGTTTTACGGAAGCAAACTAAGAAGAAAAATGATATTTATTCTCATCGGTATGTAATATGTCGATAAGAAAACAACGACTTTAACAAGATTACTTAGGGTGTCAAATAGCTTGCTACATATATATTTATCTATGGATGTACCATGAGGCGCGCGGCCGGGGCAACACGGCACGTTCCCTGCGTCTCAGGAATTAGAGCTAGTTCTGTGCCACATTTTACTCAAATATTTTTAATAACATGATTTTTTTCGTGATAATTATAATATAATTATTATAGTATTAGAAGTAAAGGCCGGCAACGCATCTGCAATTCCCCTGGTGTTGCGGTTGTTCATGGGCGGCGGTAGTCACTTACCATCAGGTGAGCCGCATGCTCGTTTGCCCCCTCTCCTATAAAAAAAAGTTAAGATCATTTGAATAGCTTCTCTTCTCTTCTCTAATTTCAGATTTACGAAAAGTCATGAATTGGAATTGAAGTCAGGAATTGGGTGATAGCAATAAAAAGGCTCAACTGGTACCCCGACATCAGGAGTTTCCTGTGTCTCATCTATTTTAATGCTTCGCACATTTTTGTAAGCATAGGACGACTGCGCATGCTGGTTGACATTGCAATACCAAAGCTTTAAAAGCGATTAAAAAACTAACTATAGTGCCCGCGTTATCAACTGAGTCGTCAGGCAATAAATCATTGTAATCAGTCTATCTCGCTCGCACTCATTGGACTTATGGAGCATCATAATGATGTGCGTAACAGCAGGTAGTCAATATCGTTTAGATTTAATGAATGATTTTTTTAAGGTTTGGAATTATAAGATAACACAAGAAAATAAAATCTACATTTATAAATATTTTATTATATTACTGTGTCTCCTGCATGCTTAACACATTTAACCCAATTTTCCTTGATAACGTTTTCTATGGCTTTATGCAAAAGAACTTTAACATCGGCTATTTTAAAAGTATGGTTTTGCGCTGCAACTTCTCCTTTTACCTGAGCCCATATGAGTTCAATAGGATTATATCAATAGGTGGCAGTCGGTATCACTGCATGACCATGTTCATTTTTCACCAAATTCAAGGTGGGTAGTTTTTTTCCGCCACGATAAGGTGGACTCAGGTAGCGAAAGCGGACAGTGGTGGCACATTCGTATTGTTATTAAGATTGCTGGTCCGACGACTCAGTTGATGATGCGGGCATTATTTGATGTATGTTCATGATTTTTTCAAAACCAATAAATGTCTTTCTAAAATATATTGTAATTAGAATAAAATATCTTGTACGTAAAACTGCGATCAAGCAAACAAAACGACAATCATGTAATAACTAATGAGTCAAGCCTTTTTAAGGGGATATAAATTTATTACATTTTTGTATATGACTAATAAACATCATTTTATTAAGTCGTACCTGTGTTTTAGTGATGTTCTAAAGCTGTGCTAGAACTTCTTATTAGTTTGTGGCTGAAACCTACCTTATTTATACATGATATCCGCCTACTCATTATTTACTAAATACTTTAGCAAGTATCTCAAGGACTCCCCACCAGCTTGGATTTACATAAGGATCACACGTTGGTTCGCATGTCTGAAGTAGATCCTCCTTCTGTTTTACGCATTAGCTCATTATAAATAATATTATGAATTAATAAATATGAATATGTTAAATGTACAAAAAATAATAAAGTTTGGAGAAATGGATAATGATGGATAACAATAAGTATCCATCATAATAGGACAAATCAACTTCCTTTTTATATAATACTGAAGTGAAAAGCGAACTTATAGTTACCTGCTAGTAAGTTGCTACTGCAGTCCATGGATACCTCTAGACTCTAGCCACAAATTAATAAGAAGTGCTAGCGCCCCTAGCTCGTTGCTCGTTGAGGTGTGGAGCAGATCTTACATTCCACTAGGAGCAATATTGTCTGTATTTATTAAATTGCACACGATCACGATTCTACCCGATGTAAGGCCGAATGACAACGAACTTCGAACGTCATACAAATCGGATAGGGCGATGCATTGTACATAGCCAAAGAGTATATAAATCACTACTACTACGTTTACACATAGCGACATTAGACAGCTGTCGTTTCATTTTCAGCTGATTTTTGTATATGCTAGAGAATATTGGGATCTCGCTTACCAATTGTAATACTTTGTTGAGGTGCTAAAGTGTCTTTATATCAGTTTTTATCTATTGGATAGTTATCAAAGGGTTTGTAAAGGGAACAATCGAGAAGCGTAGTTTTGTAACAGCGAACAAAGGGAGATGGTTCATTGAGCGCGGGTGGTGCGTAGCGGACGGCCGTGACGTCACGAGACCGAGGCGTCGAGGCCGATGCGGCGGATGCGGAGGGCGCGCTCGTGATCTCGGCGCTCCGGGGAGCGCGGCGAGCACGCGCAGCCGAGAGGGCCAGTCTGGCCTCCAGTGACTCGGGGGACGAGGGCGCAGGCCAGCGGCCGCCGCGCAAGCGCACCCGCAGGCTGTCGCCAGAGCCCGAGGTCATGCACCAGCCTTGCACCAACGGTGCGGTGGACGCGCCCCACCACCTCAATGGTGACGCGTCCACGCAGAACGGTGATCTGCAACTGCCTGGCCTACAGATGAGCCAGACTGACCAGGAAATCGTCCGCCTCATTGGCCAGCATCTGCTCTCCGTTGGATTAGAGTGAGTATCCACTTATCAACAAATATACCACCTAATTTTTACTTTACTACTTCAAATTTACTTACCTCAAATACTTGAATGAAACTTGAAGATTTGACATGCTTATTATGGGCTATCTTTAAATTACAAAACAACAATAATCATAATAACTTGGATCCTGATATTATACTTATATTTTGCTAGAATTAAATTGTTGACTGACCTTAAACTAAATAATTTATTTTAATTCTATTGTCTCATGGTTTTAGCAGTCACTATGCATTTTTAGTGCAGAACTCTTGAAAGAACTAGTTGCATGGTTTTATTATTCAACAAATTACATTAATGTGTACTTTGAACTTATATTTTGTATGCACTAATTATTAACTATTGAATGAACAATGAAATAAGTAGTTGAGCAGTGAGATTACAGGATTGGTGTAGTACCTTCGAATGTTGGCACATGTGAAGGTCAGTGCTGTGCTGGCAAGTACTGAATATTGGCTAAAGTGTGAAATGTTTATTTTTATAAATATAAACTGCAAAACAGTTAAAGAGTCGACCTAAACATAAAGAGAACACCTGCAAACATCTTAAAAAAGAAGATGACAGATGCATTCTGAACCTGAGGACTAAAATGAAATACCCTACAGCCTATAAATACTGAAAATATGTGCCCTGTTATTGGAATAAAGTATCGGTATTGATCACTGATGTGGTACTAAGGTAGGAGTAAATTGGCATTTAACATGTTTTCCTCTTTGAACATTATCAGGTTTAATCTTGGTCAAACATTGGTCTGTTCACAATATAAATGATGTTTCAAAAGTAAATAATTCTAAAGTATATTAAGATCAGAGACTTTATTGTTGTTATTACAAATATTGATTTTATGAGAACAATGGTTATTGTTTACTCTGCACCCAAAAACACATTGCCTCCCTAAATTTCAAAAAATTTGGGTAATATCTTTGGATCCAGAGAATAAATCTAAATAAGTGAATTAATAAGGATACCTTTTTTTTTTTAATTTATTTTGAACAGATAATTTCTTTATGCTATATAAAGCACTAGTCCAGTTGTACATGAATTATTGCTGCCATATGGTATTATTATATGTAGTAGAGCCATGCTGCAGTCATATTATGGTTGTAGTATGAATGGGTCAGACATACCTCAAAACCTTAAAACGAAATTGTACAACCAGTGCGTTTTGCCAGTGATGACATATGGAACTGAGATGTGGTCCTTCACTGCTGAGGAGAGGATAGGAGCGTAGCCCACGGAGAGGGCTATGCTCAGAGTTTCTCTGCTTGATAAACTCAGAAATGAGGATATCCGCAGTAGAACCAGACTGACCGACATAGCCCAACTGATTAGTAAGCTGAAGTGGCAATGGGCCAGCCATATAGCTTGAAGAACCGACAACCGATGGGGAAAAAAGGTTCTCGAGTGGCAGCCTCGTACCGGCAGGCGAAGTGTTGGGCGTCACCCCACTAGATGGAGTGACGACCTGGTGAAATGTGCAGGAAGTCGATGGATGCAGGTGGTTCAGGACCGTGCTTTGTGGCATTCTTTGGGGGAGGCCTATGTTCAGCAGTGGACTTGTGAAGGGCTGTAATGATGATGAATGGGTCAGGCCGACTTGGGAATGACTACACTCTCTCGGAATACTAGTGTGAAATAACAGTTTAATGCCTAGTGTCTCATATGGTGAGAGTAAAGAACTGGCTACCCTTTTTACTGAAAACGAGGCATTCCATCTTGGCCTTAAAGGGTGACAACGCATCTGTATTTTGATTCTTAATCAAAGATAGATGGCCCATAGGCAGCCAGCCCTTTGGTGTTTTACGTTATGACCTAATTCCTCTCTCTCTATTCATCATTTCCGTCTATCATTTGAACCAACAGACTGCTTTTGGCTGTTCAACACATCCTGATTGCTTTGTAGGTCATAATGGGAACAGCAAAGTAGTGGAGTAATTTGCCAGCATCTCTATTTCCATTCGATTACAATGTGGTCTTTAAGAGTGAATAGGCTTTTGTTAAGCTAAGTAAGTGTGATCTTTAGCTGCATTACCACTTACCGTCAGGTAGCATAGTAGTTAAGCTTTGGCTTAAAATCTTACTGAAAATAAACAAAAGATCTTACTGAATAAGTTGAGCATGTTCCAGACATATTACTAGCAACAAGTTTTCACTCTCCTTATGGCTTACCATATAGTTTGTCACTATCACATAGCATGTATAGGCTTAGCTTAGTGCAATAAATATTTCTTTCCTTCTTACTTTCTTTCTTTCTCTTTCTAGTGGTCATAGGTGGTAATTTACTTTAAAAAAAGTTTTTCCTAGGACAGAGGCCTTTTTCCGAACCAGTGGTAAAATTAAAAATGTTGTACAACCAATTTCATTTCAATATAAATAAAATGAGAACATCATCAATGTAGTTGAAGTCAATTAAATGCACATTATTACGGAAAATTAAAAAATTACTGGTCAGATCTTGATCAAATTTATATGGGACCACATGAAAAGCATCAGCTTTCAAATTAAAAAAAGAATCATCAAAATCGGTTCACCTAGAAAAAGTTTTGAGGTAACACACATGAAGAAATACAGTTGAATTGAGAACCTCCTTTTTTGAAGTCGGTTGTTAATGATTCAATAAGAATTACATGTAATTTCTATATTGAATAAAACATTATCTATACTTAATATAATAAAGGGGAAGAGTTTTTTGTATTTTTGTTTGTTTAAACACACTAATCTCTGGAACTACCAGTCCGATTTGAAAAATTCTTTTTGTATATTATAGCCAGATTCATGTGAAATAGTATAGGCTATCTAGCATTAAGCTATATCACTCAGTTAGCCTTAAATATGGATATTTTTTAAGCAAGTCAGAAGAAAAAGCACTCCCGAAATGATTTATCCGCGTATGCTGGTGTTATCGTTAGGGATACGTAAATACAATGTTCTAGAAAAATATAGATCTTTACTTCGTCTAAAAAAAAGTCCGCGATATCATATGTCTATTTCTTATACATAAGCCATAATTAGGTATTTAGTGACAAAAAATATTGAAAATTAAAAAGTGATTTATGAGTGTTATTATTAGGTATGGCCTATTTATCCTTACGAACAAAAGTTACTTCATCATCAAGACAATTTTATGAAGAAAAACTTTGTTCTTTATACCTTGTTATTTGGACGCATAGTTTAAGAGATAATGTAAAAATAAATTAAAATAATTTTAAAAAAATTAAAATAAATATTTGAAAATTTAATTGATTAATAAGTATAAGAGTTTGATAGCTCAAGAATCATTTCATGCCCACACACTTTTCATGTATCGTGTACGGTTTTCTTTAAAACTGGAACAACCGCGCTTCGGGACACTTTCTGGGACGTCTGGGGGTGCGGGGGGGGGGGGGGGAAGGAAAGTGGATACAACTTAACTTCGCTCTACATCATACATAATATGCCGACAGATAAAAGTACTCCATTAATTATGCCAAGTTTTCCATACATTGATATCAAATAAAATATTTAATTGCAATTATAAAATGTGAATGTCATGTCGCGCACCTCCGACACGTGATGGTTTTTTTTTTTTTTTTTAGCGCCCAAAGCAATTGGAAATGGGCTACCCCGGAGGGAGGCAGAAAATGCATTACGCATACCACGATGGCCGGTCCATCGTGGTTATGAGGGACTCACTACCTACAAGGGGAACCTAAGTGATACCCTCTAAAAACTGCCTTTGGGGACTGGCAACTAGCTGTTGAAAGCTTCATATGCCGTATCTAAAGCGACCCTCTTTTGGGAAAAGAGGGCGCAGACGTGATGGGCTCTTGCTAGTTCTTTTATATTCTATTCTAATATTGTTTATACTTTAAAGAGTGCAGAGGCTATACTCTTGCTGGGGTGTCTCTACTTCTAATTCTTCATTACTTTTTAGTGGGATCTTTCAGAAATTGGGTGATTGTTTTAGAAATTTTGAATGTATTATTTATCATTTGTCCCTTTTAACTCAATGTAATACCTAATGTCATGATAAAGTAATTACCAGTTGCATTGAGTACCAATACTATGAAATAAAAGGCAAGCTCCCAACCCCTTGAGCAAACTTTGTATGTATCATCATTCATCTAAGTGCGTATTTTGCATGTGGGCAGGAACGTTGTGATTATTTGAGCCATGAAATCTTCCCAATGAAGTTCAACAATCCTTTGATGTTGCAAGCAACTTCGGGAACTGATCCTAGCATCTCTATATGTAGAGACCTTGGCACATGCCAGCAACACATGGGCCCCTGTTTAGTCCTCTCTCATACATACCCAGGGGACTATCTGTAACACCTATAGTAAATAAATGTTTGTTAAAGTAGCCATGTCCTGTAATGACCAGGGATGGAAAAATCATGATTTTTTTTAATTTTTATCAAATCATGGTGATTTTTTAAAAAAAATTTTTTGAATTTTTTGATTTTTTTGTATATTTTGAAATTCACGAGTTGGTAATATTTTTTGACATAGTAGGATTCAAAGTTTATGAATACATATGTATGAGACTGATTAAGAGTAAAATAATTAATACTGTATTAATTACAGTTCATGTCTAGGGTGAATTTCTAAAAAAAATTTTGGTTGATTTTACTAAGTTTATGAGACTGACAGACCTCATCGCTACGTCTTTGTTGATTTTCCATAGTTTATGAGACTATTGTAGTTGAATAATAAGAATAACATAAAACAATAAAAGATTTCACCGTATTTTAAGCCAGTTTATATTTCATTTTCTGACTATTACATTAATTTATACATGTTGCTATCCTGATCTGTTGTTTGTTCAATCTTATTAAGACCTTGGTTATATGACTGTTTATGTCTAGCAGGGCCTCCATAGATTGTCTACAGTCCACTAGATTTCTCCAAAGCTTAGTTGATTAGTAAAGTTTTTACTTGCTGTAAGAGCCGTGGTAGCTGAGATGGTTAGCGCTCGCTGTAAATTTCACAGTA